AAATTTTAATATTGCATACCATGAATTCCACCTTGATTTATCGGCTTTCCTGTGACACAACCATGAGAGTTCATGTCTTGATATCCGAGTGTTTTCGAATAGGTATCCATCATCCATGCCATTTCACGTTCGCCAGTACCTTTAATAAATAATCACAATCGATACTACATATATGTTAGGGTGCTAGGGTTGATTGGCAAGATTATTTGCACTAACTTTATTACCTTGTAATTATAGTAAAACTATTAAATTCATCTGTATAAAGATGATCTTATCGATAAAGTAATGTTTTGACCGTTACCATAAAAAACAGATTTATGGGCAAATATAAACTTCATCTCAAAACATCTTGTTACCCATGTCTGGTGCTGGTACATCAACTCCAGGGCTCAAAAATCCCTTCTTAATCAATTCTAATGCAAACTTCCGAGTTATTTTCTCCAATTCTAACAATGAGTACTTCCTAGGATCAATTTTGATTCCAGCCTTAGCTCCACCATATGGTACGTCTACAGCTGCACACTTGAACGTCATTATAGCGGATAGGGCTCGAACTTCATCGGCGTTTACGTCTTCTGAATATCGCAATCCCCCTACAAATCAAGATATCAATCGATCAGTTGATTGGAAGCAAAAATTTATTTCTGAGAAGATGTTTTTAAAAAACTTGCGATGCGATGTAAGAAATCAGAGATATAAATGTTGACTCAGTTTAATTTCTATACTATTTGGAAAATATGTGAATAGCAAAAAATATACGAATATATGCAAAATTTCGGGGGTTCACTCACAATGTAAGTTAACAGATATTCTGGAAACAGGACATACAACCCTATACTATTGTACTATTTCCCGCAGCACGTTTGGCCAGAAAATATAAGTTCCCACTTGCTATCTTATTCGAGCAGTTTCGAGTTAAAAGTAATATGACAACATCCGTTTTCACACGCGGATTCTTAAATTAACTTTGCAGCAAAAAGCAAGTTGGACTCTCCCCTTATTTTACATTTGAGCAATCCACATCTCGATCCGTCTGCATAAATCGTTATGAGTGTTCACGCGGTGATAAACCATGCATTTCAAAGTTCCGTTCAGGCGGATAAAAACTGGTCCACCAAGACGATTTGTTGGTAGAAGCGGTAAAATATTCGAACACGTCAACATGTGCTCAATAAATGGTGCTAAGTCACTCTTTTGATTTTCAAATGGAAAGCTACTGGTTTATGTAAGTTAATGTATTTTTGTATGTAATGTATACATATATGTAATTTTTTGATCCTGTCAGAAGTTTGGAGTAAATTTGGTATAGCATATTCTGTACCCATCTTCTACCGTTTCAATTTTATTTGAATTTGTTGTTGAATGACTTAGATATTGGCCGTTCGAAAGTATCGCAGTTTGCTGTTTCTATGGCTACCTCTAACAGATTAGCAAAAGCAACGAGTCACCGTTTCAGTGTGGGCTTAAACTGTTTTTCAACTTAATGTGCACGTCTTCCATTACGATGACATTTTTCATTGGCCAAAGAGTACAAATAACAAACATTTAGTTTGAAAATATTGCGAAAGTTCTGCCAGGGTTACATCCAGACAGAACTATTAGCGATAAGTATGTGGAAAGGTTAATCAAGAAGTTTGAAGGATCTGAACCTGTGATCATCCGGTTTTGGGACAAGTAGCATTTGACAATAGCCAAAGTACTCGCCAACTGGCTACATCTTCCGAAGTTTCTCGCACGTCAATACGAAGAATATTGAAAATATTGTAATAAAGTTCATCCTTGCAAAATAAAACTTGTACATGAACTGTACTTGAAGATGATTATGATAGAAGTTTGGAGTTCTGCGGACAAGACAGACATTTGCTGTTTAATATTTGGTTCTCGGATGAATACAAATTCTATTTACACGGCGTTGATAATAGACCTAGTTGTCATTATTGGAGGGACTCAAAACCTCATTTATTTAGAGAAGTCGATTTCCAAGATCCCGCAAGTTAAACGTTTGGGCAGGCATATTAGGAAATCATGTAAGATCTCGTTTTCTTCCTGGAAACTTGACGGGCGAGTTATATCTGGAGATGTTGGAAAATACAATAAATCCGATACTTACGGAATAAAACGACGGTTGCCATAACGCCAAACATCTTCACTTTTAAGAAGATTGCGCACCATCTAATTATATAGCTCCTGTAAGGTCATTTTTGGATCACAACTTTCCTAGTCAGTGGATTGCTAGGTGAGATCCAATTGAATGGCCACCAAGGTCCTCGGACCTAAATCCTTTGGACTTTTTTCTTTGATGGTATTTGAAAAACAAAATTTATGACTCGAAACCAGGTTCGATTGAAGAGATTTGCCAACAGATTACACATGAGCGCAGAAAAACCTTCTTCAGATAACTTGTTAAATGGCCGTAAATAAATAGAGAAAAATCTTTATTACTGTATAGAGGAAAACTAACAACATTTATTATCACATTGAAGTCCATATGTGTGCCTAATAAATATTGTTTTTGCTTAATACCTCATTTATTTAATTTAACGGATATTTCCTTAGATTAAATGTTGCAAATTTGCCATGAATCATCATGTAGAGTTAATTATTCACCGCAGATATTATTTCAAGAATTTCGAGTTTTAAACTAAGTTCCTAAATGAGTAGATAAGTAAAAAAAAAACGTTTAAGCCCACATTGCCACTTGACGGCGACTCGGACTAACACTTGACGGTTGTTTTGACTAAACTGTCAGAGGCATCCATAGAAACGGCAATGTGCGATACTTCCGAAGGGCTCAATATCTCGATCATTCAACAAACAAACGCAAATAAAATTGAACCGGTCGAAGACGGGTATAGAATATGTTGTACCAAATTTACTACAAACTTCTGGCAGGACCGACAAAAAACTAGTTGGTTTCCATTTGAAAATGAAAAGTGTGACGTAGTATTTTGTTTATGAAACACCCTGTATAATGCAGTAATGGTTGAAAATTGTGAGAGCCGGATCATTGGCATCATGCAACTGAACGCTTCCCACAATTTTATCTCAAATAAGCTGTAATATATAAAATAATAATGCTGATAATGTTTAATTTTTGTTGCATGTTTCCTCAACATTCGCGGGTTTATTACGTTCATTTGTAACACCGAATCCGTGTAAGTAAGACTGATAGGTAAACAACATATTAATATGCTCATGTTCACCCATGACTTTCCTATCATTTATAAGTGTGCAAAAATAAAAGCGTTTCCTATAGACATGTGGCAAAAATTTGTGCGCCGCAGTTTAATATCGTAAGGGTATAAGTGTTTCGTATTCCTTTCTTAAATATTCTGTTAATACTTTTGTCGCTCTTTCAAATTCAAAACCTATACTTCCAGTATTTAGCCTGAATCTTCGAGAACACGGCCTAAAACTTGATCCTTAAGTTCAGGATTTGCAGTTACCGACTCGCTGAAGGGCGCAGTTAATAGATAAAGCAATAACCTGCCTGAATAACCTGACAAGTGCTAAAGTTAGATTTTGAAAATATTTACAGTATAAGTTTTATGTGGTACTAATAGTTGAAGCAGCTTGCCTTAAAATCAATATGATGCGAAGCTCATTGGATATACAGGGTGTCCAGTAAGCACATGATCAAAAGGATACTGTGATATTCTTTGCATCAAAAGAAGTCTGTATGACCTAACTTTTATCAGACTATGAAGGCTTTCACGGCCGGTCAAATTACATTTAGGAATGTTTTCCGGGCTTTGAAGCCGTGGTCTATCGGAATTTCTTCCTGA